GTGTGTGTGGGTGAGTGTGAGTGTGTGTGTGTGTGTGTGTGTGTGCCTGTGTGTGAGTGTGCGTGCGTGCGTGTGAGTGAGAGTGTGAGTGAGTGTGTGTGAGAGAGTGTGTGAGTGTGAGTGTGAGTGTGTGTGTGTGTGTGTGAGAGAGTGTGTGTGTGTGAGTGTGTGTGTGTGAGAGTGTGTGTGAGTGTGTGTGTGTGTGTGTGTGTGAGTGTGAGTGAGTGTGTGTGTGTGAGTGTGTGTGAGTGAGAGTGTGAGTGTGTGTGTGTGTGTGTGTGTGTGCCTGTGTGTGAGTGTGCGTGCGTGCGTGTGAGTGAGAGTGTGAGTGAGTGTGTGTGAGAGAGTGTGTGAGTGTGAGTGTGAGTGTGTGTGTGTGTGTGTGAGAGAGTGTGTGTGTGTGAGTGTGAGTGTGTGTGTGTGAGTGTGTGAGTGTGAGTGAGTGTGTGTGTGAGTGTGTGTGTGTGAGTGTGTGTGCGTGTGAGTGAGAGTGTGAGTGTGAGAGTGTGTGTGTGTGCTCACCGCCGAAGCCATCTGGCACGTATGTCTTCAGGACGATGTTGCAGAAGACGGTGGGCAGCGACAGCGGCTTGTTCCCCTCATTGCGCAGCGAGATGTGTCGGTAACCGGCCTGCAGTCCGTCCAGCGGCAGGATCCTCTGACCGATCAGCTTGTTGTTGTCGTCGTACACAGCGATGCGCAGCACGGCCAGATCCGGCAGAATCAGCTGACCACAAACCAGAGATCACATGATCAAGTCGGTCTGACCGCAGCTTCAGGATTGAAGCAGGGCAAACACAGAGGCATGATGGGATACGACACACGCCGCTCACCACATTAAACCCTCCACCACTGTACAGGACCTTAGTGAAACCCCCACCGGACAACACAAACACACAGCAGTGAGCAGTAAATCAACACACTGATTCATGAAGCATCATCTCAGATCAGAGTTGAACTAGGGCTGGCCGATATGACCTAAAATCAAAACCTCGATTAATTGAACACTTCACCTCGAATATGATTACTGAACAATTATTTTATTTATTTATTTTTTGCCCTCATAGTTCATTAAAGGTTTGTACTGTAAATATAGCTACTCAACTATTAAAAGCGGGATATTTATTTTCTAATGAAAGAGTGCATTTCTTATCTTTCATATTTTTGCAAACAAAATATATGAATATTGCCATGTCAAAAGTAGAAAATAAGCAGCATTTCTTGCAAACAACATACATTTTAAATATTGTCATTTGATTTCAGTGATCTTGTCCTGTCACTCTATATGTTTAAGTGTTTACTCTAGGTTCCTTCTGGCCATTCACACAGAACACATCTTTGTGTCTAAGACCGCGACACGCAGCGCTCAGGAATGTTTTTTGCCTACTCCGCCATGCTGCCGTCAAATACAAAAGTTACCTTGCCAACCTGCTACTGTAAGCAAAAGCTTGCAACGCTTGCTCTGGGGTCTTCTGATTGGTCCACTGTTTTGGAAATGACATTGATGAACTTCATTGCACTCTGCCAATGGGCTCGTTGGTTAGTGGTTAAATTGGTTGCAGTTGGTCTATAATCTAAGATAAACTAGTTAAAATAATTCACAGAAGCAAATTTAGTACTTTAGTGCGTTTGTTAGGCCTATTCAGAATGAACTCAAGCAGCATATACTGGTAAATGTCAGTCAACATTCTTCTAACATTGTTATGACGTCTCTGACTTCGAGAGCCACTGTAGGGCTCCAGACTAACATTTGAGACACCGGCACCAGTGCTGCTAAGATCTACAGAAGCTGGCTCCAGCAGCCGACAGTAAAGCACTTCATCACACATGTACATCTCGGAGAGGTCTATTTGAGGTCTGCATTTACATACGCAAGATGTATTTTTGAGAGTGTTTGCTCATCTGCAATACGTCTTGAAGACGTCTTCTGTCAGATGTCAAATAGACATTTATTAGAATGCATTCTGAGACGTTTATCAGATGCATTTCTGCCGCAAGTTGTTCCTGTAGTTTTACTGTTAACGGTGGTGACGTGTGTTTGTTGAACAATGTTTTTCCTGGTTTCCACATCAGTGGCGTTTGTTCTGATATCTGTAGCTTTAACAGAATTCTGCTTCTCACAAGATTTCACAGAGATGTTACTGATTCTGAATTCGACTGCTTTCTTCACTGTATCTCCCAGCGCTGTGTATAACGGTGTCCCGTGATCGAGAGCAGATAAACGAGTAGCGCGGATTCGTTCCGCTCAAACTGTTCGTTTGTCCCATGTAGCTCTTGTAAATCAGTCATGATGAGAACGCAAGGCTGTTCATGCCATTTTTGGAACCTGTTAGAAAACACTCTCTGTCTGTATTGGTTCCAGATGTTTTCACCCCAATGAAAGAGTGCATTTCTTATCTTTCATATTTTTGCAAACAAAATATATGAATATTGCCATGTCAAAAGTAGAAAATAAGCAGCATTTCTTGCAAACAACATACATTTTAAATATTGTCATTTGATTTCAGTGATCTTGTCCTGTCACTCTATATGTTTAAGTGTTTACTCTAGGTTCCTTCTGGCCATTCACACAGAACACATCTTTGTGTCTAAGACCGCGACACGCAGCGCTCAGGAATGTTTTTTGCCTACTCCGCCATGCTGCCGTCAAATACAAAAGTTACCTTGCCAACCTGCTACTGTAAGCAAAAGCTTGCAACGCTTGCTCTGGGGTCTTCTGATTGGTCCACTGTTTTGGAAATGACATTGATGAACTTCATTGCACTCTGCCAATGGGCTCGTTGGTTAGTGGTTAAATTGGTTGCAGTTGGTCTATAATCTAAGATAAACTAGTTAAAATAATTCACAGAAGCAAATTTAGTACTTTAGTGCGTTTGTTAGGCCTATTCAGAATGAACTCAAGCAGCATATACTGGTAAATGTCAGTCAACATTCTTCTAACATTGTTATGACGTCTCTGACTTCGAGAGCCACTGTAGGGCTCCAGACTAACATTTGAGACACCGGCACCAGTGCTGCTAAGATCTACAGAAGCTGGCTCCAGCAGCCGACAGTAAAGCACTTCATCACACATGTACATCTCGGAGAGGTCTATTTGAGGTCTGCATTTACATACGCAAGATGTATTTTTGAGAGTGTTTGCTCATCTGCAATACGTCTTGAAGACGTCTTCTGTCAGATGTCAAATAGACATTTATTAGAATGCATTCTGAGACGTTTATCAGATGCATTTCTGCCGCAAGTTGTTCCTGTAGTTTTACTGTTAACGGTGGTGACGTGTGTTTGTTGAACAATGTTTTTCCTGGTTTCCACATCAGTGGCGTTTGTTCTGATATCTGTAGCTTTAACAGAATTCTGCTTCTCACAAGATTTCACAGAGATGTTACTGATTCTGAATTCGACTGCTTTCTTCACTGTATCTCCCAGCGCTGTGTATAACGGTGTCCCGTGATCGAGAGCAGATAAACGAGTAGCGCGGATTCGTTCCGCTCAAACTGTTCGTTTGTCCCATGTAGCTCTTGTAAATCAGTCATGATGAGAACGCAAGGCTGTTCATGCCATTTTTGGAACCTGTTAGAAAACACTCTCTGTCTGTATTGGTTCCAGATGTTTTCACCCCTCCTCTCCTTTTCTTCCCTCTCTCACTCGCCCTCCCTGTACAGCGCACTGTTGTTTCTCTCTGATTCCCCCCTCCTACATCTGTTCTCTCTCTCTTGTATTATGTTTTAATATCTCTTACTCATATTCGAGGTACGCATGCGCACATGTATGCATTAGCTTTTCTGGGTTCAAATGTTCAAATGAGGACAAGAAAGCTAGGACTCTAAGGTAAAGGGGTTCGTGCTGAACTATGAAGATAGTTCAGCATCCTTCGCCAAGTCTATTCCTAATATGTCCATATCTTCCTGTACATGTGGCCATTTTGTATAACACATATTCTTGGCCAACATCCTATATGTATGTCATCTATATCCTCATTGGTTAAAGGGTTGAAACTCCCCTCGACATATGCCGATATAATATCTTTGTATCTATGAATAAAGTTGAAGTATTGAGAATACCACTGAATGTGTGTTTTCTTGCTTCCCGGCCGTTATACACTTTGAGGGACTGAGAATTTTCCAGGTGGCAAAGAGAATCTATAGGGACCGATTGTTAATTACTGACAGAACATTTCTTTGACTGAATGCGTGTTGCGATGACGTCACGGGACGCGTCTGAGCCCAAAATCTGCGGCAATTACTAAAACGTGCGAGCTCTTGCGAAAATTGCGGAGTTTGCTTGATTTTGCGATTAACTCCGCGATCACAGAATCCTGGAGGGACTGTCTGTTACACAATACACTGTGTTTTAAATTTACACATTTAACAGGTGTGCAGTATTATTTATATTATTGAATGATATGTTACATTACCGTAAAATATAAAAAAGGTAGTTTACTTTGTATTGGAGCATTAAAAGTGGAAGCATATTTAATGTGGATATGCTAATGTCAGAGTCACATTACTTAATATTTGTCACAAATACAAATGTTTGAAATTTACATATAACAATTCCTACAATAAACATTACAATTGCTACATGTCACGGACATACTTTGTTATCTGTCCTTATTTAGCAGGACAGAGAACTACAGTAGACAACTCCTGCACATGACATGCCCGAATTAAGAAATCGCTGAACATTTTTAAAAATGCATTCCTTCCTTAATTTTAGTGAAAATGTGAGCACATTGTATTATTTCTTTCCCACTATTACACTACAAGAAACAAATAAATAAAACCTGGCCACGATTTAGACAAAACAATGAAACTATAGATATCCTACTGGACAAATTAATAAAATGCCTTTAAGTTTAAACAAGTTCTTTCATTATTCAGCAAAGACATTATACAACGAAAAAGTATTTTGCAATATAAAAACTAATAAAGGGGTACTAAAACTTTCAGTGTAAAATTTTAAATATGGGCAATTCCAGCATTATGGACATTCGCAGGAAAAACCTGGAATATACCCTAAATTCTCATAAAATGTATTCATTACCAATATATTGAACCATCTCTTTATATTTTTCTAAACCCTTGAACGTAGAGTCCAGACATCAGAAAATATCCGTCTATAAACCTGTTTTATATTTTAGATTATGGAAATAGTCATGCCTTACAGACGTGTCAAAGAAGACAAGAGTTTTTGGGAGACAAAATATTTTGTAGATGTTCTGTAATTTACAATGTACAAACCAGAAGCAACAATATTTGCCAAATGGAGAAGGGTTGGCTATTTACAAAACCCAAAATAATCAATTTTGTTTAAATTTTTCGTTTTTGTGTTTCAAAGGAAAAATCAACGCGGACCATTGGACGTGACAGTTCTGAAAGCAGAATTTAACCGACTATGGAAATGCATATAAAATGCTTTAAACATGTTAACATAGACATGTAGTGGTTTTTTATTAGGGCTGCCCCCCCACTAAAGATTTTTTAGTTAACTAGTAGTCGTTAATTTAAGTCATTATTCAACAAAGCGCACATTTATATTAAATCAACTACTAATCCATAATGAGCTTTAATATATTCTGCGCTCAAGCACACGCCTAACCCTAAGTTTGCCACAAAGCAAAAAGGCAAAAGTAGCCCTATGATTATGAATGTATAGAAAAAGGAGACATTTTAATTATTTATTAATATACTAATGTTTTCTTGTCGACTGCAAGATGAAATTTACAGT